TTAGCTGATCTGAAAGATTTCAGTATTCCTGGTACACATTTTAACAAAGAATGAAATGTAATTTCAAAATTAAATATGCATATCAAAAACAATACTTTTTATCAGAACAACACGTTGTTATTTCCTATTTTTACAAAAACAAGTTTGGAAACAGGATTTAGTCCTCCAGCTTGATGTCATATTCCATTTATTTGGATATTTCAATAAAGGAATGTGAAATAATAGTTTAATCATGTGCAAAATTTGATACCAACACACATGTGAACAGATACTATCACCTAAAAATAAAAGAAAACAGGCATATAGTGAGCACAATTCTTTAACAAACTCACTAAAATAAGTTAAGTTACGCTATGGCAATATATAACAATATCAAACGTCACCATCTTCAGTGTCCAAAAAAAGTGCCGCGCGCATTTTTTCTGGTCGCATAACTGGTATTGCACCCGATTAGCACGTTTGACGCCGGCTGGCAGCCGGAAATTTTGTCTCCGATTGCTCGGCCGCCAGCCGGGCTGTACTATAGTATACTATTCGTTCAAAAAATGCGCGCATTTCGGAGACTGGTTCTAGAGTGTCTCATAAGCTGAAAACCACCAAAATTACATTAAATTTTCCGAAAATCATCGAAATGCATCTAAATTCATCTTCCCAATGCATACAGCTAGCTATGCGACAGGTAAATAAACGAGAAAAAAGAGAAAAATTGAGAATTATTCGCGCTAACTCCGAGATTCGAACTTACGACCCTCGGCATACACGCTAAGTGTTGTTCCCCTGCGCCACCACGTCTTACACGGAAAATATGTTAATATCTCATATGAGGAGAGAATTTGTAGCCACTGTGATTTGAATGAGGTTGGTAATGAACAACACTATTTAATGCAATGTGCCAATACAAAATTCACAGTGATTAGAACGAACTTCATTACTAATCTTTTTCAAATTAACTATTCTTTTAGATTTTTTAATAACCATGATCTTTTCATATATATATATATATTATGTCAATGAAAGATAAATCCATAAATTCACTAGTTGCTAAATTCTGTTATGATATTTTAAAAACATTTGACCAATTGTAAGTTTGTATCTTAAGCTCATTTTCCATATACTGTAATCAGTTTATTTGTTTGTAATACGACGTATCAGTAATGGTATTTTTGTATGAATAAAGTTATTATTGCTGCCGTAGGCAGCTTCCTATTCTTGTGATTTGTTCCCAGACCTCTTTACCGAGCTATATGGATGCGACAATGATTTGGATTTAGCAATGTTTGGATGTTCAGTTTTATGACGTTTTGTTACGTAGAAGATTCGACGGGTTTTTACGGAAGCTACCTGCTGCTCTTCGGGACTTGCCAAGATTTAGCACGAGGGCGAAACTTACAGGTTGGCAAGTATTTAGCAGATAATTTGCGATTTTTAAGAATTATGTATCCTTGTAAAGTCATTTATTTAAGGTAAGAACAAAGCATTATCTGTGATCCTTTTAGTTTACGAAGAATTTTCAGAAGATTTGACGATTTGTTCTTCTATTTATGTGGGCTCGTGTTTGATTTTATAAACCTGACAGTGCATATTTGGTGTTGGGAATCATTGTGTTCAAGCTGTCGCTGATCAATATATTGATCAGACATTTTGCGTGTTGGTCACGGTGTGGCAACAGGCAACTCAAATAAAATTTACATCAATTCTAAACAAACAAACGGAAACTAACAAGAGCCATTGTGTTCTAAACAAACGAGAGCCATTGTGTTCAAAACAAACGAGAGCCATTGTACGAAGGTATCACGTGACTCAGAGCTACAGTATATATATAACTGCAAATTTTACAGACCTCTATTACAGCTGCTGATAGATCAAGTTGCAGTGATATATATTGCATTTGGTTAAATGGGGGTAACAATTGAGCAATATCGTGCCTGAATTGGTGCACATTTTAATAGTTATAGTGTGAGAAGCAATGATCTATCAGGCAAACGTCCTTTTCTCGATAATATAAATATGTTGATACAAGCACCTGTATATAACCTCCCCCCCCCCCCGCACTATGTATAAGCCCATCAACAAACGCTTACCAACTTATATAAGTCCAGGGCTTATAATTGGAGGTTTACGTTACCGTATTTGGTTTGTTTACAATATTTGGTTTGTCCACACGGTTTGAGTGTTTGACAATTGACATTTGAAATGAGATATTAACATTGCATTCACTGTTTTACTTGGCCAAACAATCTATTAAAATTACATGTCAGTAGTTAAACCTACTTGTTATTAGAATGGGTAATAACCCATCAGCTGCCAATCACCTAGCCAAATACCGTAAACATCTGACTATAAGCCCTGGGATTATATACTTTTGTAAGCAATTTTTGACGGGTTTATACAAGGGGGGGGGGGCTTATATACGGGGGCTAATACATGGATGATTCTTTGTGTTAGTATTAAACAAGTCAGGCATAAGCAAGTCAGTCATAAACAGAAAAATAAACATGTATTAATAAGGTGCTTTGATTAACACAGTTGGCTATAAAGACAATGACCATGTTTTTAAATATCGTTCTCTGCCCTACAGTCATTTTTTAGTTGAAAAGCCACCTTAGGTAGGGGACTACATGCAGTATCCATGAGTATGAGTACTTCCGCACACCGGAAGGCGCGTGCATGCTGTGGTGCGTATGTCAAGTAGCGACAATAACAAAAATGTAAAAAATACTTAAGGTGGCTTTTCAACTAAAAAATGACTGTAGGGTCCCTTTAAAAGACAATGTCAATGTTGAATAACGTAGTGGGCTACTGGGCTTATATTCGGGGCACTTATATTTGGTGGTCTTATATTCCGGGGGGGGTGCTATATTCAGGGGGCGAGGCGTATATTCGGGGGGGGGCATATAGTTTGAGGTTTACGGTATATAACTTTTTATTGGTAGAGTATTGCAAGTTATTTCATTACAACTACTCAAATACCTCCTACAACCTATCACTATATTAGTATTATATTCAAGACAATTAACAAATTTGGTTGTGGATTACCTGCAATGCATTGTAGCTGCCACATGATGCTGCCATATGATTCGTCATCAAAATGCTGACGCCCAGGGCCGTGCCACCTTTGGGGGGGGGGGGGGGTAACACCCCCAAAAAAGTAAATTATGGAAATTTCAGGGAAATGTTGTTTTGCGAAAGATTTTGGGAACTTTTGTTTTTGAAAACATAATGTTGATCCCCCTCCCCCCGTCGCCAACATTCTTCCTGGAATGGAAGGGGGTCAAATTTTGGAATACACGCCAAACCAGAAACCGGTTGGCACGGTCCTACCCAGTGCACATGGAGGTCCACCATTTTTAATATTATCAGGGGGTGAATGCTTCTCAGCGCACTGGCTAGCACCATGGCGTCATTTTGATGACGAATTACAGTCATGTAACACTGACGTTGAGATGCGATTGGTAACCAGGCCTCCATGTCAAACATAAGGTAATCAAAGCACTAACTTTTTCGCAAGTTCACAACGCGAATACACGTACGGCAGCAATTTCACTAACTTTTTGTTATACTAGTTATTATTTATTGTATATAAAGAGGTTATTCTTAGCCAGCGCGATTTATGATTGCGTAAATACGTACACTATTGTACACGGCCAAGGGTACAGTACCAGCGGAGCCGTATCTACTCTTTAATACAACATTTACAATACATCACGGCATAGATCACGGCTACCAGTCGGGGTTATTTAACTGTAATACAATACTACAATGCAATACGACTGTCAGCCGAGGCTGCCGGTAGTATACAATAGTATACTACAATACATCACAGATGCCTGCCGGCAATACTCCTATCAGCCGGGCGTGTCTGTAGTATACTATACTATAGGACCTATAGTGTACTACAGCCGGGGTTATTGTTGTTGTTGATTAAATATATTTAACTGTAATACAATACTACAATGCAATACGACTGTCAGCCAAGCCTGTAAGTAGTATACTGTAGTATACTACAATACATCACGGATACCAGCCGACAATACGGCTATCATCCGGGCCTGTCTGTAGTATATTATAGTATACTACAATCCATCGCAGGTACCAGCCGGCAATACGGCTATCTGTTAAGAATAATTTCCCGCCAAATTCTATAACGCTAAATATGATTGGTTAAAGATTAATGAGATTCTCTCCTCTGATGTGGACATTCGGTCGGACATGTTTTTTAGAAAATCAATTCATATTATTAAAGTTATGTTTATCTTCAAATAAATAGTTATACAATCGAAAGTGAGCGAATATTTCAATAGGTTATGGGCCCAGGACGTGTGGAATTGAATTAAAACGTGTTTATTTGTCCTGTTTGGCGGAAATTTTGGTGAAAATACTTCGAGTCTAATATGGCGGAAATTACGAAGATCGATAAGCTAAATGGCAAGAATTATCCGTCTTGGAAATACAATGTCAAGCTAGTTCTTATGGAACGTGGCCTTTGGGGCTTTACACAAGAAGGCAAAGAAATACCTCCTGACGAAAATGCGACAAATGCTGTAAAGAATGCTTTCCAGTTGCGATCAGATAAAGCCTACTCTTTAATTGCCTTAAACGTCGAGGAACACTTGCAAATACACATTTCGAGTACGACAGATCCTTTAGTAGCATGGACGAACTTGCAAAAAAAATTCGAGTTTGTATCTGTTACCCAGGTCGTGCGTTTGAATCGTAAATTCTATGCAGCCACCATGGAAGAAGGTGGAGATCTTATGAAACACCTGACCTATATGACATCACTGGCAGAACAAATCGCCAGGAACTGTCCACTCAACAATAGAAAAGGTGGAAACAAAGGGGAACATTCGAAGCTTGCGGAAGGTGGTGGAGTAGCACTGATTTCAAGTACAGGAAATTCAAATGAATGGTATGTGGATTCAGCTGCGACAAAGCATATGACAAATCGCAAGGACCTTATCATCAACCCATTTGAACTACACCCAATACCAAACACCGGTGAATATTTATTTGGGTGACAATACCTGTATCAAAGCCCTGGGTGAAGGAATGGTTAAGCTATATACTCAAAATGACAATATATTCTATTTGGAGTTACACAAAGTATTGTATGTGCCGATGTTAGCAAAAAACCTATTGTCTGTGCCGCAATGGCTTCAATGGGAGCTAAAGTGTCATTCGATGACGAAAAATGTGTTGTTTCCAAAGAAGAAAATAAATTCGTGATTGGTAAATTGGTAGATGATATGCTGTATACTGTTAATCCAGTTGAATTTGCCCATCCTACAACTGAACCCTTGGATATGTGGCACCAGAGATTTGGTCATCTAAACAATGGATATGTTAATCAACTGATGAAGAATGATATGGTCACCGGAATGATGTATGATGAAAGTAAACAAGTGGAGAAAGATTGCAAAGGATGTTCAATGGGAAAGATGCACAAGAATCCCTTTCCAAAAGCAAGTCTACATAGGGCAAGCATACCTTCTGAAATCATACATACTGACATATGTGGACCAACGCAATTGCAAGTTGAGTCGATTGGCGGTAGCCGTTATTTGGTCACATTTACTGATGACTATTCCAGATATGCTGTTGCTTACTTTATTAAGAAGAAAGATGAAGCACTTACTAAGTTCAAGGAGTTTGTGAATTATGTTGAAAATCAAGATGGAAATCATAATAAAGTGAAGATTCTGCGCAGCGACAACGGCGGTGAGTACAAATCGAACAGTTTCTCCAAATTCTGTACAGAGAAGGGCATTGTCCAACAATTCACTTGTCCTTACACCCCTGAACAAAACGGTGTGGCAGAAAGATTAAACCGTACGATTTTAGAATCTGCAAGATCCATGATATATCATGCAAATTTTCCCCTAGTCTTCTGGGCTGAAGCGTGCAATACAGCCGTGTACCTACATAACCGAAGTCCTACAGTTGCATTAAAGGACAAAACCCCTCATGAATGTCTTTTCGGTGAAAAACCAGATGTTTCTAATCTTAAAGTCTTTGGATGTATGTGCTATGTTCATATCCCGGACAGTAATCGTAGAAAATTAGACCAAAAGTCTTATGAAGCTATATTTGTTGGCTATCCTACTGGCACAAAAGGATACAAAGTTTATGATGTTAAAAGAAGAAAGTTCATAAGTCGAGATGTTCAATTCTTAGAGAAGAAATTTCATAATTTTGAGAACCCAAAGAATGACTTTGTGTTCGAGCAGCAAGAGAGAATTGAAGTTCTGGATGATGAAAAACAAACTGTTGAGTTATTTGATCTAGATAGAGTTGATGATGAACTTGATCAAACCTTCAACGAAGATCAGGATGAGTTCAGAGTTGATCCTGTTGTTGAAACAAACATTAACTTGAACGAAACCATGGAGCAGCCCGTTAATCCCGAGAACGACGAACCAGTGGGAGAAAGTGAAACCCCATCTACTTCGAAAACATACGAAGAGCGGTTTATGGAAAACGTGAAAAATTTAGGTCCTGTAAGATAGCGTATGATTCCGAGTAAGTTCAGAGACAATGCATGTCCACTAGTTGAGTATTTAACATGTGAAGTTGATGATCCAGAAAGTGTCCAAAGAGCGCTGAATGGGAAGTATGCGAAGGAATGGAAAGACGCGATGATCTCAGAATATTCTTCATTACTAGAAAATGATACATGGGAATTGGTTCCTCCCTGTGATGATCAAAACGTAGTCGGATCGCGGTGGGTGCTAAAGGTAAAGCGGAAAGAAGATGGATCAATTGATCGTTTCAAAGCGAGAGTTGTAGCTCAAGGATACTCCCAAACAAAAGGAGCGGATTATGACGAAGTATTTTCCTCCGTGGCCAGACATACAACTTTACGTACATTACTGGCATTAGCCAACGAATATGATCTCGAAGTCCACCAAATGGATGTTCGAACTGCTTTTTTAAATGGCGACATTGATTGCGACATTTATATGGAACAACCGGAAGGTTTTGTTGATCCAGACAAACCAGATTATCTTTGTAAGCTGCAGAAAAGTATCTACGGTCTCAAACAGTCTGCACGCTGTTGGAATGACACGCTCGATGGATACTTAAAGTCGAGAGGATACAGAAAAAGTGGTGCAGATGGTTGCATTTATGTTAAATCGGTTAAAAAGGACGGTGGTCGAATAAGTTTTGTGATACTCGGAGTTTACATGGACGATATAATTCCAGTTTCCAACGATATCCAAATGCTGAATTCAGAGAAGAAAGCGCTCAGCGAAAGATTTAAGATGGATGACAGAGGTGAAGTTCATTACCTATTGGGAATGCTGATTAAACGAGATCGAAAAGCCAGAGTTACTACAATCAGTCAGCGTAATTACGTGGAACGAGTCCTAAGCAAATTCGGAATGGAATCATGTAAACCGGTTTCCACACCACTGGAACCTGGGACAAAGTTTTCAAAGTTGTCAAATGAGGATGAAAAATTTGACACACAAACATACCAGCAAGCGATTGGATGCCTAACCTATCTTTCAGTGATTTCAAGACCAGATATCTCAGCTGCAGTGGGAGCACTTTCACAATTTATGGCAAGACCTAGCAAAGATCATTGGATCGGAGTGAAACGTGTATTACGATATCTTAAAGGAACTTTAGATTATGGCCTGAAATACTCAGCAGATGAAAACCCTACACTAGTCGGTTATTCAGACTCTGACTGGGCAGGAGATATTAATACTCGTCGATCAACATCAGGTTATGTAAGCAGAATATATTGCCTTAAGTTTAGCCGCGCAAGAAGCGATATGGTTACAAAGACTGTTACTGTATATGATGTTGGATTTAAAATCAGAAAACCGATAACAATCTTCGAAGACAACCAAGAATTACAATAGAATTGGCGAAGAATGCCAAATATCATAATAGAACGAAACATATTGACATTTGCCATCATTTCGTTCGTGAACGCGTTGAAGTCGAAGGAGATCAATGCAGTATATTGTCGAATAGATATGAAAGCAGACATACTAAAAAAAGGAATAGCAAGATCAAGTTATGAAAAGTTAAGGGACTTGATTGGGATTACATCTGTTTGAACATTGTAATTTAATTGTTGAAGTTAAATTTATAAGTGAATGCACATTTTATTGCAAACTCATTAAGTGGGAATGTTAAGAATAATAAGTTCCCGCCAAATTCTATAACGCTAAATATGATTGGTTAAAGATTAATGAGATTCTCTCCTCTGATGTGGACATTCGGTCGGACATGTTTTTTAGAAAATCGATTCATATTATTAAAGTTATGTTTATCTTCAAATAAATAGTTATACAATCCAAAGTGAACGAATATTTCAATACTATCAGCCGGGCCTGTCTGTAGTATACTATAGTATACTACAGACAGGCAGGCGGGTGATAGCAAATAAATAAAATATAATATATTATTACAGTATAATATAATATATTACTAGAAGTTACTATCGCAAGGAAAGTGCTGCCTCACCCCCAAGGGATGGCACCAGCGCAATTTGCTGAATAAGGGGCTGTTTATAAGATCCCACTTTGCCATGACGAGATATGAGGCAGGATGATTTCGATGTATTGAAATGAGTCACAGTGCACAATTCAGCAAAAACATTTTCTAGATCGAGATAGATTATAGTTCTATAATATCAAGGAGGAGGAGCAATAAGAATCCGCTTGAACTACAAGATCTCTACAATATTTGAGTTCTGTTAACAAGCATTTGAACTTTTGTTTAGCATATAGTATTATAGTGACTTATTCAAATACATCAAAAATCATCCCACCTTCCTTCATGTAAACAGCCCTAATTAAGACACCTCTTCAGGAGGCAGGAAAAGTGCAATTTGAATATCAAACACATTGCACAAGGTCAAAGGCAGCTAAATATTCTAATTCTACTTTCTTGGCATGGGCAGTTTTATGTGAATACCTTCAACACTTATAACTTCTTGCTTTTGTATGTATAATTATAACACTGTCAGTGGTGAAGCTATAGCCATAGCAACAGGTCATGCTATGCAAGTTTTTAATCATTGCATTATTCAAGTAGATGCAGGTTTATTGGCGTGGCATGACCAGTTGCCATGGCCGCTAGCTTGCCACTGAATACTGTACAAAATCATATTATATATAAACAATATAAATAATACTTGAATGAATCATTGGACATGTAGAATTTAATAACAATTTCATATAGAAATATTAAGTCAGTTTTTGTCCCAATTATCATTTTAATGGCACCTTCAAGGCTATGTTCACAGAACAACTGAGTGAATAATCTGCTGATGGGGAGACAAATCTATTTGTTGACATTTTTGTTTAATTTAATACGTCTGCTTCAGATGACACCATTCATTTGTAATGACTAAGATTGTACTCAGTCAGAACTGCAAAGCTATATAATAGGAAAGATTTGTGAGCATTATCGAAAAATATAGTATTCCCTGAAATGTAGTGACACAGGGCACACAACCAGGGTGAATATATGAATGTAGGCCGGTAGGATTATTTCATATTTATGCTAACAATGGATATATCTCAGAGATATATTTTTACAGACTGCCATACCTTGTACAAAAATCGGTTGACATGTTATATTAATACATGTAGGCTATTAAACTGCTGGTATTAAGTTAATATATGCAGACAACAATCCATGCACACTCACACTGTCGTCTGTCGCTGGATTATTAATAACTATTAGAATGTTAGGGTTTGTAATCCAAGTGAGAATATATACATTTTAAGACCTAACCAGGAACGACTGCGAAAAATGCAGCACAAGGTCCTCTGGTAGGAATCGAACCTACGGCCTTGCGATTCCGGTGCAGCGCTCTAACCAACTGAGCTACAGAGGCCAGCTGTTGAGCTGTAAATGTAAGTTCATGTATATATAGGTAATCGGGTGTGCGGGTTGTGATAAGGTGGACTTCAATAATTTGGATTCTTGCACTTCACTTGGTGGAATTAATATTAGAAAGTTAGAGTTTGTAATCCAAGTGAGAATATATACATTTTAAGACCTGACCAGGAACGACTGCGAAAAATGCAGCACAAGGTCGTCTGGTAGGAATCGAACCTACGGCCCTGCGATTCCGGTGCAGCGAATACATGAACTTGCGGTTACAGCTCAACAGCTGGCCTCTGTAGCTCAGTTGGTTAGAGCGCTGCACCGGAATCGCAGGGCTGTAGGTTCGATTCCTACCAGAGGACCTTGTGCTGCATTTTTCGCAGTCGTTCCTGGTTAGGTCTTAAAATGTATATTATTTAGGTATATATTGTCACTTGGATTACAAACCTTAACATTCTAATATTAATTCCACCAAGTGAAGTGCAAGAATCCAAATTATTGAAGTCCATTAGGCATTATTAATAACTGCATGGGTTCAATGGCAGGTTGCTATAGGAAATATCTTTACATTATAAAGCATACACAACATTCAGCGTTTGTTTTTAAAACGTTCTGAAAGCAAATTGCTATGTCTATGAACATCTAGAATGAACACTAAACTCATCGCCTTGGCACATCGCCACACAAACAAATATAAAGCCAAAAGTACATCATTTTGACTCCTAAATATATTAAAAAGACGATCTATTGTTTCAAATACCTCATATCGAACGCTAAACATCAGATCTAAATATAAATGCCTTCATGTAATATCACCAGAAAGAAATAAAGCTATCCTTACCTGAATTATTCAAAATATTGTCGATTTGTGAAAATCCAACATATATCATGCGAGCGCAATACAAAATAAATTTTGACCGCCCCCCTCGTTTAAAAAAACTTCCTGAAGCCTTAATTATTTCCCCGGAATTACGACATCTTTACAAACAGACAGACACAAATTCTCAAATCGAAATCTCGATCGACTATACATAACTCGGCCAAAGAGACTGGACACAAGTAAACGCAGACACGCAATACTTCATGTTAAGAATAGTGTGCTGCCTTCGGCAGCAAATATGCCTGTTCGCAGGTAAGTGCTGTGTTCAGCAAGTGTT